TACAACGTTTCGACAAGGTTTTGTCATCATCAGGTACCTGATGATGACAAAACCTTGTCGAAACGTTGTACATTACCTGATGATGACAAAACCTTGTCGAAACGTTGTACATTTGCTGTCATGTTAAACTTATATTAAAGTTTTTCTTCATTACCCATTTAAGCCGTCTCCAGCCATTATTACCTACACTTAGTTAACTATGGTTACTAGGTTAACCTAATTCACTTCTCGTTTAGCTCTGGTTATTCCACCTCACTATTAATTTAGCTCTGGTTGCTAGGTTAACCTACCTCAATAATCATTTGGCTCATGTTAATATAGCGATTTCATGTGTTGTTTCTTGTTCTGGACTTAGGTTTAAAGAGAGGTAAATATTTCTGATATAATAAATCTCCACTTTTAACATAATGACTGTAACAAACATACCGAGAAAAATAAAGTTATTAAAACTAAACATCACTCCACTGATTGGTTGCTTATTCACATACAGATAGAGAGAAAAAAAAACACTTCATTCCTTTTAAAAATATTTGACAAAAGCAAATACTCCAATTATACTTATGTAGAAAACGAAAAGGACGCCGGCACTTAGTTTCTTGTTTGCATAACCCAAATACATACGTTTTGTGACGAGACTGAACATTTCACACCAGATTTGACAAAGTAGTCAGAGTTGTACTGTCTGAAAATATACTATGTTATCAACCCCACCCACTCATTGATAAGGTTGTTATCTTGTTATCATTATATCACACCAAAGTGTAGCGAAGAATCAAGTAGCAACAAGGAAAGATAAATTCAAAAATCAATCTCGGATAACACACACCCCCACAAAGAGAAGATGATCAAATGTACAGACTAACTAAATAGTTTAGAATGCGTTTAGTAGTGAGACCACACTGTTCGTCAAAGTTTCTCAGTTGTTCAACTTATAAACATCCCCTACGACAAGGATACACTGTCTATCAAAGTCCTTCAATTTGTAAACATCCCCTGAGACAAGTTCAGCGACAAGGATACACCGATTATCAAAGTTCTTTATTTGTAAATATTTCCTAGGATTTGTTTATTTGTTGTGTTTTTATAGTTATGTAAAAAGCTACATAATGGGCTATCTGTGCTGTGCCCATCATGGGTAGCCAACCTAGTTTTTAGCGTTATAAGTTCGCAGACTTCCGCTGAGCCACTGGGGAGCCCTAGGATTAGTTCAGAGACAGGAATACACTGTCTATCAAAGCCCTTCAATTCGTAAATATCCCATATAATTAGTTCAGAGATAAAGATACACTGTCTATTAAAGTCCTTCAATTCGTAAATATCCCATATAATTAGTTCAGAAATAAAGATACACTGTCTATTAAAGTCCTTCAATTCGTAAATATCCCATATAATTAGTTCAGAGATAAAGATACACTGTCTATCGAAGCCCATATTTGGTAACTTTTCTTAACTGGACATCAGTATAACGTTTTAGTTCGATATTGTTTGTATTTTGCTAATTGATTCCAATGATTGTTCTCGATCTTAATGGATAAAATATTTTGATCTTAAAATATAAACCAATATTTCACTGGACAGATAAGGAGGTATTATCACAGCAGAGCGATAATAAAGACTGTCTTACGGTAGCAATAAGAGGAAATAATTTTCACTACAGCCTACTGGTAAAACTCACAAAAAAAACAACAACAAACGTCCTGTTTCTTGTACCAGTACTCTTTGAATATGGCTCAGAATTAAATAATAAATACCCCAAATTGCAATATTTCCATATAAACACGCGAGACGTATTGTGAAGTACTTACTTTAAAGGAATCCAAAGTATGAGCAATCTCGTTGTGTCCCTCTAGGCGTGCCATGTGGACGGGAAGCAGTCCTCGGCCATTGTACAAGCAATGGGCTTTCTCGGCTCCTGGAGATTCCAGAAGGACCGAAGTTAACTCTTTCAACCCATAACGAGCAGCAAAGTGAAGCAAAGTTGGCAGTTCATCATCACCTGTCAGTGGAAAGAAACAAGATAATGATCTCACTTAAGTGTATCAAAATATGAAGTGTTAAAAAACACACCTTAAATGTGCCTAACAGTCGACGGAGGCCACTGATAAGCTAACCATTATAGATCTTCAAAATATGTCGAAATACGATGACAAAGTTTCAGTTAAATGTGTGTTACTTGCATTACACAGCTCCGTCTAGTGCCCCCCCCAGCGGTATGTCTGCCGACTTACAACGCTAGAAACCTGGTTTCGATACCAGTGGTGGGCAGACAGAGCACGGATAGCCCTTTGGGTAGCTTTATGTTTAAAAACTAAAACAACAACAACAAACCTCTAGTATAAAAGAAAATCACCCACGGAAGAAAATAGTGGCAGCACACTTTCAAGGACTATTTTTACGAAATACCGTCTTTTAACGGGAAATATTTAAGGACATTCATCTGTGGGTCGTCGTGGTTTCGAATCCCATCGCCGAATATTCGCGCTTTTCCAGCCATGGGGACGTAATAACGCGACGGTTAATCCCGATATTCGTTGGCGGTGGGTGGTGTTGACTAGCTGCCTTCCCTCTAGTCTATCGCTTCTAAATTAGAGAGGCCCAGCGTAGATATCACTCGAGTAGCTTTGCAAGAAATTCAACAAGCAAATAAAAAATGTAATATGTGCGGAAATTTCTTAAAATTGTGAAAATATTAATTCTTCTAATGAAATTCCCTAAATATCTTTTTTTTCTTATTTTGTAAATTTTCGGCCGGTACTTTTTTTTTCTACAGACTCGCACACACACACGTATATAGACATTTACAGAGCACGTTTCTACGCTTGGACATATGTTGACAGTGCAGCTGGAACAAAGACTAAGTAACCTTCTGTCACTATCCTCTCCATAAACAGAAACAAATCACACATAGCTTTTGTTTCCAGTTTTGCAGGAAAGGTTTCACAAATTCTTTCCAAATAAAAACGTAAAAATATGGATTATATACAATGTCATTAAAAGCATCTTTGCACGGCATGGCCAGGTGGTTAGGGGGCGTTCGACTCGCAATCTGAGGGTCGCGGGTTCGAATCCCCGTCACACCAAACATGCTTGCCCTTTCAGCCGTTATAATGTGACGGTCAATCCCACTATTCGTTGGTAAAAGAGTAGCGCAATTAGAGACGGCTAGCGCAGATAGCCCTCGTGTAGCTTTGCGCGAAATTCAAAAAACAAAACATCTGGCGACGAAATAGCGTTCTCAACGTTTGCTTCAAGAATCTTTTTTCGTAAAAATATAAAAACAGTGTTGATTAGCACAATATTTCGTACTACGACATGTAGTAACCACAAAATTAGGTTTGAACGTTGTTGTTATTTTACGTAATTAACGAGACAACCTATCATACCATCATCAGCATCGGTAGTATTAAAAACAAACAGAACTAGCAAAACATTTTCGGTCAAACTTATATCTTTATTACAAGAGTATTTCTTTAAATACAGGATTTCTAGAATAACAGAAAATATTTCTAATCGCAGACACCGAAATCTATAAGCCCGCTCGTCATAGGCCTAACATTAGGCCTATATTCGATAAAAGAGATAAATTAACATTGTAACATGTGTACGTTTTTTGCTTTAGCTTAATTCGGGCTAACCTTTAGACCTTTACAAAAACTTTGATAAGCTTTTAATATGTTGTTATACAAGTTGTATACTAAAGTATATTTACATCCGCCATTTTTACCTCTTTTAAAATAAAGTGCATGCGCATGCGCAGTTAGATATTAAGGTGCGCGCACATTCTTAGTGTTATTATAATAGTTTGGGGTTCGGGGATTCCCACCCTCGTAATATGTTACTTTCTTATACTGACTTGCTGATAAACGGTTAAAAATATCCCAGAAATGTTGAGACCCACTTGCGGGTCTGACAGTGTTTTTTGTAATACACAGAAAAATATATTACCAACCTTACACAGAAATGAAGTTTGTTTAAATCGGAATCACAGCCGACAAGATAAATTTAAGCGCGACTTACTTTTAAGCTTGGACTCTGTAGTGGGTGTCAATAGGTCAAATCTCTCTGAAGGTAAGTTCATTTTAAAGCTTTGGGCCAAACTTTTGTCAACCTCTGCGGACGTTGCAGCGCCAAGACTCTGACGTAATAGTTCATAGGGCGAAACTACGTTGTGCAACAGCTCATGCAGTTGCGTCATGGGAGGTTTGCATTGTAAGGTTTTCTCACTGAGATAGCAATCTCTCCAATAAATGTTCACCGTTATCGCTGTGGACGTGGCGACGAAGGAATCTAAAATGATATTGAGAATTAACTTCTGATCAGAGCCATCTATCTATTTATATCATAACCTTAGAATGATTATATATATACTGTTCTTACCTATAATGATTAGAATGCATCATGTAAGTAGCTTCGCTATTAGCAACATTTTCGGCAGTAATCCTAATAATAACTCACGAGGTTCTGCCAGATTAGGAGATTTAGGCTAGTTCCTAAACCTATATTCTAAGCTAACACTATAAAATAAGCTCTCTAATAAATATATAGTATTTAAAAATGATAATAAATAGACATTCTAACTAATGCTGTTACTGAAAATAATATTAAAGAAAGAACATAGGATCACATAAACTGTAGTAGTTTTCATTCAAACAATCAGTGCTAGAGAAACTGTAAGTACTGAAAACTAAAATGCACGTTTGGAAAGTTCTAATGTTAATTTTTAAAGTATTAATCAGATAACAATAACAAAACGATATAATAATATTTTGTTCTGCCGTTCTTAATTCAAATTCTGTAATTGTGTAATTTTGTAATTTCAGTAATTGTGAAAACACACACACACACACACACACACACACATATATATATATATATATATATATATG